CTTCTATCATAGGGTTCCAACACTGACACTTCCATTCTCCTCCTAGAGATGGGGGTTCAGGATCCAAATCACCACAGGTTGTGCTGGGGACACCTCCTGTTTTGGCCTTTGCCCAAATCTGTCTCTGGTTTCTGTAAAGAAGCCACAACGAGGAATTAACTACAAAGGCTGACAGAATTTTCCTGTCTTTAGATACTGCTCTGAATTCTCGTGTCTTGTTTCTGGTTCTTTTATCCCTCCAGGTCACTCCATCCTTTAGTCTTAGGCGTCTTCCACTCTTGTCATCCTGGTTTCACACCAGTTCATTTTATGCTTATTCAACCTAAAAGTTTTTAACCCTCTCCTTCCAGCATCACTGCCAGCTCTGACCCAGCAGTGCTCTGGGGCTTCCCCTTTAGCCCCTCCAAAAATCGAGCCCAAAAGAGGGTTTTTTCATGCTAATGCACTGTTAGAATTAGCAAAAAAGTCCATCTCTAGCAAAAAAAATCCATCTTCAGCCAGCATGAAGCTGCAGGATGGTACCTCCTGGATTCTGCCCCTGCAGGACGTGCTTCACCATCCCTCCTCCTCCTCCTCCCGGGAAGGCAGAGCCCCCAGGCACCAGAGCTGTGACCACCTCCGGGTGAGACCAGCAGCATCCCAGCAGCTCCCACTTCCCTGGGTGGTTTTTCTCACTGAAATTTATCCAAATATGATTCTGCTTTTAGTTTGCCTTCCCCCAGGGCACGAATCTCGCTGAGGTGACCGTAGGAACCCTCTGCTCCGAGGAGCCCCCAGCCCTGGGCAGCAATTCCTGGAAGGAGCTGGAGGGATGGGAGCTGTGTGGGCACTCTGGGGCTGAGCAAGCCCCAGGGTGGGCTCCTGAAGACTATTTGTAACACGAATTGATTTCAGCCAAAGGCTGAAAACCTTTTGGTGTGACCAAGGGGTGAGGTTGCCTGGCCAGTCTGGTTTCTCAGGATGAAAACAGACATCTGGAGAAAACCTCAACCTCAGCTGCAGAATCCGTGTTCCTGAGCCACCTCTGCCCCTGCGAGCACCAGCACCTGGAGGAGAGAAGGTGACTGCAGAGGTGAGCGTGACCAGGAGGCTCCTCCCCAGAGTTTTTTTACTGATAATACTTAGCAGTTCACACACGAGGCACAGCCTTGAGGGAGAAGAAATGTCACGGACCCGTAAGCGCTCGCACGAGGAGGAAAGGAAAATCCCAACCCACTAAGTCAGGAGGTTGTGATGTTCAGATGGAATTTTGCTGTTTGCTGGGGACCCCGTCGAGGCTGGTTACAGTTCATGCCCTTCTGCACCGGGTTGTCTCCAGGGCAAGGAGAATTCCCCTTTCCAACAGAGGTGGCCGTGAGGATCGTGCAGAGCCTGGTGACCTCGAGTCGTGAGTCACCCCTGAGTCAGGGCAGGGGGCTGGTAGTGCCCTTTCTGTGCCAAAATTTCCACAGGTAGAGGATCAAATCTGATTCTCCCTGTCCTTATAACAAAAGAAAATCAAATATCCCTCCATCTCCCCAAAAAAATAATCAAGAAGGGGGCAAGGGTGCTGCCCAGGGGGCTCCTCCACCAGCCATTTGGGGAGTTTTGGGGTTTTGAAGTTCATTCAGCAAAATCCTTTGTGGTTTAAAGGACTCTACAGGGAATCTCAACACACCAAAAGCAGCCTGACTGGATTTTCACTTCATATGCACTTTATCAGCAAAAAGAAAACCAAAAAACCCAACCAAAAAGGCATTAAACAGATTCCTGTCACCCCCAGACGAACGTCTCCATCTGCTTTGCTAAACTTTGTTGGGAAAAACCAGCAGTGGCTTTAGGAACTCCACCTTCTGAGCTGAAACCCGAATGTTTTCAGCTGCATTCCCATGGCAGGGAATTCCCAGCCTCAGGCCAGTCACGATGTGTTTATCTGCATTGCCTCGCTGAGTGGCTGGAGGGAGGGGGCTGGAAGCTGGACCTAGGGCTGAGCAGAGGATGAGTGGCCAAGGAATTGAGGGCTTCCTCCCTGCTCGGGGATTGTGAAGCACTCCAGTGAGTCAGAATGTTATAGTTAGCCTTAAAACAAACCAAACTAACAGGCAAACCCCCCACACACACCCCCCAAAAAAATTAAAAGAACCTTGAAGTCAGCGCACGATAATCTCTTTGGGAACAAACATGGAATTTCTAAAAAACCAGATCTATGTGTGCCCACAAGGCTTTGGGGAGACAGCTGGAGTAGTTTATTTCTGGATGCTTGAGATCCCTGAAGAGTGAGTGGGAGTTTTCGCTCAGAAACCCTTTGGGTGCTGCAGATGTGCAGGGCTATGGGCACACGTGGCTGTGCCAGCTCCAGGGCTGTGGCCAGAGAAGGGCAACGGAGCTGCTGGGGAAGGGTCTAGAGCCCAAGTGTGGGGAGGAGCAGCTGAGGGAGCTGGGGGGGCTGAGCCTGGAGCAAAGGAGGCTCAGGGGAGACCTTCGGGCTCTGCACAGCTCCTGACAGGAGCCTGGAGCCAGGGGGGGGTCGGGCTCTGCTCCCAAGGAACAAGGGACAGGACAAGAGGCAACGGCCTCGAGTCACCCCAGGGGAGGTTTCAGTTGTCCCTGAGGAACAATTTCTTGCCCGGGAGGGTTGCCCAGGGCTGTGCCAGGCTGCCCAGGGCAGTGGTGGAGTCCCCACCCCTGGAGGGGGTTCCAAGCCGTGGAGATGTGGGGTGAGGGACACGGGGCAGTGGGGACCTGGCAGTGCTGGGGACTTGTTGGTCTCATGATCTTAAAGGTCTTTTCCAACCAAAACACTTGTGTGATTCCGTGACTCAGGAAGCTGGGATGCAGCTGGTGGGTTTAGCTGGGGGATGCAGGAGAAGGGAGCAGGGAGAACCCTGCAGCTCCCACCAGCATCCCCAGAGCTCGTGACTCCACGATGGGCTCTGTCCGTCCAGGTTCTCACACAGACCACGGGGACAGCACCTCCTTCTGTCACACAGCCCCTGCTGAAGGAGGGGACTTGGACGTGGAGTGAAACCCTTGGGAACTGCCCTTCCCAAAAGTGCTGAACCTGGAATTGTTACTGGGATAAATCTGGCGTCTGTGAGAGTCAATTTTAAGCACTCACAGTGTGTTGTGGAGCAGCTGAAGGCTACTGCAGCAGAGAACCAGGTAGTCAGCCAGGCAGTGGGGAGAGAAGCCTCCCATCTGGCAGGGCACCACGGTGTGGGAGAGGCAGGGCACTCCTTTGGATGGTGGGACCCTCTGGAGAAGCTCTTGCACATCCAAGGCCACCACAAGCCTTGATTTACAGCCCACCACTGTCCTTTTAGTCATCACAGCAGTGCTGTTAACTGTGTAAAATCCATTGGCTATCCCACAAAGCCTTTTACAAGCCATGCAGTGGCTACAGGAAGATCCAGGTACCTGTAGACCTGCCCAGGAGATGGTGGGGCCAGGACAGGCATGAGGGGTGAGTGCCTCCAAGGAGGTCATAGAACTGCAGAATTGTTTTGGGTGGAAAAGACCTTTAAGATCATTGACTCCTCAGCACGTTCCTCAGCCCTGCCAGGTCCCCACTGCCCTGTGTCCCTCAGCACCACATCTCCATGGCTTAGAAACCCCTCCAGGGGTGGTGGAGGTGCTCAGGAGCCCTGAACCAAAGGAGGGTTTAATAACACCCAGGAGCTGTAGCCTGGGCTATGTGGGCTACCAAAGGGACAGCAGCATCTAAAACCAACCACAAGCTGAAGAGGAGGAGGAGGAGGAGGAGGATGTGCCACTGGTGGAGAGCTGGGAGGGCTGCAGCAAACTGTGACAGCTTGGGAGGGGGAACACAGCACCCCAAAGCTGGTCTCTAACCCCTTTCATTTTTTACTGAGGGGTGTTAGCACTAATTAACCTGGGTTATAAGTGCTGGGGTCGTGGTATCATGGGTGGAAACAACTGTTGGTTGTCCTTCAGCTGGGCTGGCACAGCCTGGGTTGGAGGGACAAGAAAGGCTCCTTCCTGGCTCTGGTTTAAAGGTGTGTTCCCCGGGGCCAGGGGAGGTCTTGGCAATGGCCCCTCAGCTCTTCCCAGAAGGGGAGTCGCTTCTGAGAAGCATCCAGCCACTCCCCCAGCACCACCAGCATCTCATCAGCACCACCACCAGCACCACCAGCGTGGAGCTCTGTCCCCTCAGGGCTTCTGAGGTCCAGGGAGCCCCGGGACAGGCTGGGGACAAAGGAAGAAGGGCAGAAAGCTTCCAGGAGGTGGAAGGCAGCCAGCGAGCTGGGTTGTTGTCCAGGCAGGAATGTTTCTAATCAGGAGTCAACGAGGAGCCATTCACAAAGTTGTGCTTGTGGAGCTTCTGGCAGAAGCCACTTCCTTTGTGGCAAAAAAAAAAAAAGGGACAGATAAATAAACCCGAGGAAACGAAGCTCTGACGCAGCCCCAGTTACAAAACCCTTCCTGGCTCCCCCACGACCCCAGTGCTGCTGGGGAAAGAGGAGACGAGCTGGTGGGACGAGAGCGGGGACCTCCTGGGGACCTGGGGGCTTTCTTCTTCATGCAGCTCTCCTGGAAGGATCTGCTCCAGCAAATGGGTCGGAAGGGAGTGTGAGATGCCAAGAGAGCGACGCTGATCGTGGAGAGCCAGCCCCTGCCTGCTGCTCCAGCAGGGCTGGCAGGTAAGTGCAAGGTTCTCCTGCAGCCCCACCTCACCTTCCTTCACCCAGCAGCCACGTCCCTCCCACCCTCTCCCAGTGACCAGCAGAGCTCTCTGCAGGTCCTCTCCCCGCTGCCCTGAGCTTGCCTTCTGCACGTCCTGGTGAACCTCCCTCCCCTCCCATACCCTTCCACCACCTCACTGTGTCCACCCCTCCCCGTCTCAGCTCATCTCACTCACCCTCTGCCAGCTCCTCCCGGTGCAGGGAGCTGGCGAGGGGCTGCGTGGCTCAGCCCCAGCTCCTCTGAGCACCAACACCCCATCCGCAGCTGGGGACCTCATCCCACCTCCTGCCCGGTGTCCATCCGTGGACCTGAGCCACATGGCCCCACCTCCAGCCTCCCCCACGCCCACCACGGAGGGAGGTGACCCGTGCAGGGTGGAGGTCACCGACGTGGCCCTGGACTGTGTCACGCTGCTCATCTGCCTCGGGGGGCTGCTGGGGAACGGGGCTGTCCTCTGGCTGCTCGGCTGGCGCCCCCGCAGGGACCCCACCACCGTCTAAATC